TAATATTCTGCCTTCCCTTTAATCTTCGCCCCAAAGGGAGTCACGCATGGCTGGTAGATGAAACCCTGACCCCCGCCCCCGCCCCGAAAGTAAAGCTGTTGGTTATTGTTGCTTTATTGAGGTGATGCCTGCAGAGGGTATGATATCCGCAGGTTTTATCACTATACTGCACTCATGTGGCTCAGCATCAGTGTGGTGCCTCGTCTCCGGACAAGAGGGAGGGGGAACTGTCAGGTACACAAATCAGGCTCATGGGTTTGAGTTTGGACAGGCCTGCCCCCCACCCCCACCCCCACCCTACCCTAGGATTGGGGATTCTGCAGGAGAGTGTCTCATTGATCTGCAGAGAGATCACCAGGAGCGCTCCGACGTCTACTGAGAGCGTTAACACAATGCAATCATCTTTTTTTCTTGTTTTCGTTGTTGCTCTCATTCTTTAAACATTGTATTTTTTGTGTATGATAGCCTTTGGTGCCTCAAGCTTTTATTCATTCCTTTATCAGAAACGTTATATTTTATTTTGACTTATCGGAATGGTGTTTATTTCAGGAGCTTTGTTTGGTTGGAGTATCGAAAAAAAAGACACACGTTGCGCACTGTTTTTCATTATGTATTGTTTTTACAGGTTACAGCCGTGTACATGCATCCATCAGGAACACATCCTGGTTGTAAAGACGCTTTGTGCAAATCACATCCAGCATTGTAACACATCTGCTGTTCATTCTGGACGTTTGGGCTGTTAGTTGTACAGTGTTGTTGATTCACTGCATGCACACAATTTCTTTCTGATGGATTTCTTATATATAATAAGCTTTGATTTGAGGAAGTGTATCAGAACCATAAAGCAACAGTAGCTGGTTTTCACATATTGAGCAGAACACTCTTTTACACCTCATGTATTGTCTTAAACAAATGGAAAACAGTGAAAGAAAAGCTAAGTGAATTGGTCCATTAACACACCACAGTGTACCCGGTGGCCAGTTATGTCACATTCCATATCAGATGGAGCAGTATTTGTGTTTATTTTTCAGCATATTTTACCCATCTTTTTCACATTTCTTATATTCAAATTGCCTTCTGACATAGTAGGTGCTATGCAAGGTGACATTCTTTCTGCAACATGAGAAATATGCATGTGAAACACCAACATTTTTGTTGTGATGTAGCACCAGCCACAGGTGGATTGGAGAAGGTTTATTCCCGTATGGTTTCCGTTTGATTGTACAGTTCATCTCACCTGTATAGATTATGATGGTGCTGCTCTATCAGCGGTACACAACAGCTTTCTTTATTGTTGTTGGGGTTTTTATGTATTATGTTTTTATGCATATGTTTGTGTATTTGTCTCAATATTTTAAGTGGTACATTATTTATTTTTCTATAATTTCTTAAGTGAAGGCATTTTTGGTTCTTAACAGCATTCCTTTCAGTTGTTTTGGCTTTTCATGTCCGCTGCGGTTCTCTTGATATTATGAATTTTGAATCGTAACGGATAGTGTGAAGGAAGGTGGTCATTTACAAAAAACAGAGCAGCGTGTATTCACTGTTCTACTTCAGCTATACGGCCTTACAATCTGCTTTTATTTTGTGTCAAAACGTGACAACGAAATGCACCTGATGAAGTAAAATATCACAGCTTTTCTCACGCTTCTTTTCTCTCTATCTCTCTCTTTGCATTGAATGTAGTTTGATATATGTATAGTCGATTATTAATGTACTGTTAAATGTGTGCTCAATTGACAAGAAGTGCAATTTATACTTTGGTTAATGTGCGTAGCGTCAAATGCAGCTGAAACATCACCTCGCTGTGGTTTCAAAAGCTCCATTTGTGCAGTCATGCTACCCTGTATACCACTACCTGGAAGAAAATGTTTATTTACCAGAGGATGAAGAAACAAATGAAAAATTGACCTTTCATTACATTTGATTGGTTTCAATGCATCCTCAAAAAGCTGTCTCCCATATTTCTAAATGTTATTTCCATGACTTTATATTTAGGTTTTTTTCATGCGTTTTAATTTCCATCTTTTACAGTATTTCACTTCACAAGTTGCTGTATGTTTAGCATGTGCAGCTAATTTTATAATTGATTTTTTTTTCAGTTTTGTTTTTGTTTGATTGATTGATTGTTGTGTTTTTTTTGTTATATATTCAAATTTAGTTTATTATGCTATTTGCAGAAGACCCAAAATATTTCAAACATGTATTTCCATACAAGTCATCGGATTTAAAGTGCAGGTGTATTGAAAAAGACTCTTGTCAGAAACCCTAACGGATCTACACCCTCGAATACACCATGGCCTTACTGTAATACCACATACTCTCCAGAAATAAAATGCAGTCTCAGTGCAGGAGTAAAAATGTTTAATGGTATTTAGGCAAAATCCATGTTGTGGCTTTGAGTTAAAACTGCATTTTCTTTGGTTGTGGTAATATTTTCAGTTTATGTTCTGTCGTCTCATTTTGTATCCGTTTGATTGAAATGTCTTTAAAGACCATAGTGTTCACACACTGCTATATTTCAAGGTGACATTTCATATGACTGTACTGTTGGAGCCAAATAAACACAGTCTATCAAATACATCAAACAAAAGACATGCCTTTATTGAATATGTAAACCCAACTGTGTAAAGCACATTTAAAACCTATAGATGAAACGTGAGCAAGTAATGCAAAATCTATATGCTAACATATAAGTACATATGTTATTATATGTAATGTGTTATTGGATTATTATCACTGGTGCCTTTTTTTTGTAAATGTAGCTGGTTGAGATGGTCCTCATTTTATTTTATTTTTATTTGTAACTCAACAGTGCTTTTTTCCCCCAATCAACTAATCTTATTTTCGCTTTCAAACATTTGTTATCAAGTCAAAAGTAAAATATTTATCTTTTTACATCTGAACTATAAAAAGTAGGTACTTACACTTAAACATGTGTATCTTTACCTATTATATGAACATTACCATCAAAAAAAGTATATACCAGTCTAATAAGGGAACACAAATCTAAATAATTATTTTAAATATATTTTTAAATGTTTTGTCATAAGGGTTGATTTCTTTATTTGAACCAAAAAACGTTTGTGAAGGATTAGGTAATCTTAAATTGTGATTTACAAATGTACAGGTGTATCAGTGTACAGCCTGCACTAACCAGTGTGTACCTGCCACTGTGACGTCACTCCCCTCGACGCACCTGCACGTTTTTAGCAGCTCAATCCGGCTAGGTGGCATCACGAGAGCTTCACGTGCTGCAGCTTGCACTTTTGTACGCGCGCGTGTACATTGAGGCGTGCGTGTTCACGTGTGTACGTACAGCCGGTGTACTCCAGCCCAAGTAGCTGTATCTGAACCTTTATATATACAGTCTATGATCTGAACCCCGCGCGGACGGAGGGAGCACAGAGCTGGAAACATCAGGAAACATCAGGATGTCTGCAGAGCGAATGGAAAAGAAGAAAACGCTCGACCTGAGGAAGAAGCATATCGGGTAAGATAGAAAACTTCCTGCGGTTATATTAGGCTACTCTATGAAGTTTAGGTTATAAGTTATTAAGTTTTACTACGTTTTACGGGAAGTTATTAAAGTGTGTTCCTAACCCTAAAAGGCGTTGCAGGAATTGTTGGTGCATTTTCGAACTGCAATGTAGCTTTTCACAATTATTTCTTCACATATGTTTGCATCGGCTTTTTTTCGTGTGTGTGTTAGAGAATATCAAACTGTGGAACATTGTAAGGCTTTTTTGAATGTATGTGAATGGAAGAATAGACATAAGAGAAGAACATTTTTTGTTTATCAGCAAAACACATTTTGGAGTTGTGAGCATGTTATAGATAATATTGTTTAGGTAAATGAAAACAAGCTCAACCCAGGGGTGTGAAAGGTACTCTTTACAAGTATGAAATATTAATACCAGCTCCTCTGCAGGCCGTCCTGTAAGATTTTCTTCAGCCATGACCCCATCAAAATCATTCGAGCCAAAGGCCAGTACATGTACGATGAAAAAGGACAGCAGTACTTGGACTGCATCAACAACGTGGCTCACGGTAAACACACACTGGCAAACACACAAAGATTTCAGATCTATTTTTACAACACCTATGTGTCATATTTTCCAAGGAAAGTTGCAGAACAAAAGAAGATATTGTGGACAGAGAGGAAATTTGATATTAGATTTTGCAATCAAAGCTTAAAGTATTTCATTTACTTGAATGACTTGACCAACTAGACTGTTCCACAAAGTCGATATTGTGTAACTTGAATGACTTGACCAACTAGACTGTTCCACAAAGGCGCTATGATCTAACTTGCATGCAGAGACATAAATATCTCCATGTCTCCTGGCCTCCCACTTGAATCCCCACTCTTTAATTTCAGCATATAGCCTCCAATTATGTGCCAGTTGTCGTGGTGTGTTTTGACCTCAAATTACAGTTGCAGGTTTTAATGAGAAAAGCGTATTTCTATACTGGATTGGTTTGAATTCTCTGTGCATAATTTCTTCCATCTCTCAGTGGGCCACTGCCACCCGGATGTGGTGAAGGCAGGAGCTCAACAGATGGAACTACTCAACACCAACTCACGATTTTTGCACGACAACCTGGTCCTGTACGCCCAGAGGCTGCAGGACACGCTGCCCGACAAACTGTCTGTGTGCTACTTCGTCAACTCTGGGTATGTGTGCACGCTCACACTCAAGAAGCAAACCCCTTTCTATTTGTGGGTGTTTGTAAGGCACTGTTCAGGTAAAAAAGGATGTCATTTTGGTTAATTGATTTACAGATTATCATTTATTCATCCACAAAATGATAATTTTCTATTTAAATACTAATGCAGCATGTGTCACCGTGAATTATATTAAGACAAATAGTTTTGCTTGTATGCCTCTACGGTAAATAAAGAGGGAAATACAGATAACATTTTTGCTAACACCCCTCATTAACCTGACGTGGTTACTCATTTACACTCGATGCAGTTCTGCTGTGTGAACAGGAATTATCCGGTCAATGGTAATAATGTTGTAGATAATGATCATTATACACTCAATGCCAAGGGAGTATGTATCAGTCACAGGGAAAAGGGTGTGACGAGTTATAAAAGGACTAAACGACCGTGCAGGAGTTCAGAAGTGCACACTGAAGACAAGAGCTGAATAATAATAAGTTGATCAACAAGCAGAATAATTGCCTGTCATATTTAATGCAAACATTTTTCTTTTATCCTCTCACTTATACAAAACTATTGCTTTTGTAATCTCATGTTTTGCAATTTCTACATACAACCCGTTATAGGTTTGCCAATGTGCTTGAGGGTGATTTTGCAATGTAAATTAAATGTACTAATAAAATAAATCACAGCTAGGACAATGAGATGATTATTATTTTACTGATCAAGTAGCAGCTTTAGGCTGAATGAAAGAAAAACAATTATGTGATGTTAATGAAATCAAAATCTTCTGTATGGAACAAAGCAAAGAGCAACATGTTTCAGAGTGGATCTTCAAAGTTAGACTTCAAACGTTAATAAGTAGGTGTCATCTCATATGACATAATAATGAGAAGTGAAACAACAACCTGTGAATGACGTGCTGGTGACATGTGTGGCTGCGGCTGTGTGTTTTGTGGTGACTGAGTAACTCTTAGTAACCCTTGCTTCTGTGAACTGCAGCTCGGAAGCCAACGACCTGGCCCTGCGACTCGCATGGCAGTATACGGGCCACAAAGATATCATCACGCTGGATAAGTAAGTGTCTCATCGTTCAAGAACTCCTGGCGCAGTGCCAGAAGAGCAAAGTGAAAAGTCTGGAGGAGATAATGAGTGGTGGAAGTCTTTTTATTCAGCGTTTTATTTATGACTAGGTGAAACCGAATGTGTGTGCTTTGTTTACAGCGCGTATCACGGCCACGTCTCGTCGCTCATCGACATCAGTCCGTACAAGTTCCACCACGCGTCAGACACTGAGCTCAATCAATCTGTCCATGTGGTGAGTGCTTTCCCTGTCTGCCTGCACACTGTTAAAACCAAATCACTCTCAAACACTCCTGGGCTTTAGCAGACTACTGAGTATTCACTGGGATACAGAATAGAAGAGACAGAAGTATTGTTTTCCGCAAATTCAGTGGTGCAAGATGTTACCTTTGGAAGTGAGTCACTGAAAACACACTTTTAGTGGAATTCCCTAAATACCTGTTCAGTCACAGGATCCCGGCCTGAGGAGAGACTGAGGCTGAACAGGATTTTAATGTTCTTGACACCACCAAAAATAGTCAGCCCTATAGCCCGGATTCCTTTGCTACTTTTCCAGCTCCTTACTTGAATTGTAAACAACTCATAGTCCCGCAATTTCTTTTTATTAAAGTAACCGTGTGATGTTTGTGAGAATACATTCTGTTTTGCTATTAGGGAGTTTGATTGATCAACTCCAAGGAAAGTCTTGATTTCAACATTTCAACGGCCACTTTAACTGCTGAGTCTTAAACTGGTGTTGAATTAAGCTTGACGCAGTGTGTTATGAGTATAAAGAAAGCAGAAGGAGTCATATTTTGATATTTCACAACGTATAACATATGTAATATATAATATATGCTATTAATATACACCTAGAGTCCTGGCTCAATTGTGTCGTACACTCTGTTCCTTGGTGTAGTTTGATAATGCGACATGTGCAGCTCTAGTGTTACAAGGTGTTCTAAGACAGTCTGTTTCTCCACCATGCATATTTTATTCATGATCACAGACACGAAGGACTCAAGCTCTGGTAAATGCCTTCATTCATCACAATTTCCCACGGTTTCCCATATTTGTGCTCAGAGATTTACTTGGCAGCTCTTGCCTGTTTATCCCATTATGCTCACATAAATCTTCACATGAACACGAGCCCGGATGGATAGAGTATAGCCACATGTTTCAACATATGTGGAACAAATATTGAAACCTGCGCAATAGAACGGCGAGAAGACATTCTGTACACCACAAACTACATTTCCCTAGACTATTAGGAGAGGACAAACTACGTTATGTTAGCTGGATTACAATGGGAGTATTCAAATCTAAATGGGCCTACATCTAATTTAGTAAAAACACTATATGAGAAGAAACGTCCCAATTTCACGTTTTAAAGTATATTACTACAAAATCATCTGTACAATGATAAAAGTATCCTCATAGTCTACAGTTTTGGTTGTTAGTTTTTCTTAACTTAATGTACTTAAGGGTCTGTTAACAGGAAACTATGTTGATATATGTTAGTATATCTATGACTATGAAAAGTGATTGTACTTAAGGCTCTGTTAACAGGAAACTATGTTGATATATGTTAGTATATCTATGACTATGAAAAGTGATATAACATTTGAACATGTAACAGAAAGAAGTTTGTTTCTCGTCACTGTTCTCCAAAAAGTTGTTTATATTAATTTATGTTTACTCATTTTAAGCAAATCTATCATGAGTATTGACATGTTCATGCTATTTTTCACAGGCTCCCAGCCCAGATGTGTACAGAGGCAAATACAGGGCGGACCACCCTGACCCTGCCACCGCATACGCAGACGAAGTCAAAGATATTATTCACGGCGTGCATGAGAAAGGAGGCAAGGTACAGTGTGTGTTACAAGAAGTTAGTTGGAACAACAACCTGAGAACTGTTTTCAACTGAACTGCTTTATTGCTATAATTGTACTCTTTTGTTCAAGGAAATGGCCCTGAATAACAAAAAAGTATTTTGCAATGTTATGAAAATGGTATGTGTATCGAGGAGATACAAAGATACATAAAATGAAGACTGTGATAGTATAAAGTCCTGTAATATATCAAATAGTTTTTTTTAGGAGGACTTAAATCAAAGCAACATCAAACAAGTTAAGTTGAGCTTTGATCTAAGAGTTAGGATTTACTTTTGATTCAAACATACTCATTAGATTTTCCACCTTTTTTGTTCTTCTCCTCTTTCACCTTATCTCCCAATTCTTAGGGTCAAATCCAAGTTCATGAGAGCATGTAGGAAACTCTTATTGTCCCAGCTTGTTGGTCCTTAATCCTAAATTGAAAAAGCTCGACTCAGCCCGGCTTCCAGAGGCCAGAGGGACGGGATAATGCAGAATGGCTTTAGCAGTTTCTAAAGGATGTTTGTCCAGATATGCATCTCCAGGAGGAAAAACACAACAACAACAAAAGGAGTACAATAACTTTTTATTACAGTGTGAAACCCACAGACTTTTAGAAAAACACAAATGGATCTTGTATTACTCCGCAGTGACCTACAGTAACATGATGTCTATGTCTCTCTCTTGTTTTTGCACTGAAATTGCACAGTGATGAAAGAGTGAGGTCTGCAGGTCAAAGATACCGGAGCTCCGCCTCTTCTCCCCCTTTATCACTCTGGCTTTAGATTGTTGGACCTGATGTTTTTTCTTTTGTGCAGATTGCCGCTTTTATTGCTGAGTCACTGCAGAGTTGTGGCGGGCAGGTCATTCCCCCCCCGGGCTACTTCCAGCAAGTGGCAGAGTATGTAACGAGTTCATGCTCTTTTTTTTTTTTTTATATGTTCAGAATCATCCCACAAACACAAAGCTTAGGAATTCTGAACATGTTTAACATACTTTGCACGCTGCAGAATATGCTGGAAGCAATGAACAAAAGCAGGCTCACATTTTCTAGCAGCAGAATTGTTGATTTATGTTTGAGTGATAGAACTTACCCAAGGTAGTCCTGGAGGAAAAAACCTGTCCGGTGTGTTGCTGCATATGCGTGTGTGTGAGAGTAATTTAAGAGAGTCAATGCCTACACTCGTGGATCTTCATGCCCCTTTGCAGACATGTGCGAAAGGCCGGGGGCATTTTCATCGCCGATGAAGTGCAGGTGGGATTCGGGCGTGTCGGCAGCCACTTCTGGGCCTTCCAGCTTCAGGGAGAGGACTTTGTGCCCGACATTGTCACCATGGGGAAGCCGATCGGGAACGGACACCCCATGTCCTGCGTGGTCACAACCAGAGAGGTGGCCGAGGCCTTCATGTCCTCCGGGATGGAGTACTTCAATACAGTAAGAGCATTACGCAGAATAATAAAGAATTGAGAAAGTAATATCATAAAAAATGCATTTTCTTTCATACCACCCTTTTAAAAAATGGTCAGTTATTATATTATTTTGTATTTTCTCAAATAATATTATACTTTGATTATGCATTAGGTCTATAAAATATCATAACATAGTAATAAATGTCCATGTGATGTCTTTAAATGTGGTTTTTTTTTCAGTTAAAACCCTAAAAATATATTTTTAATGTGATATAAACTGAGAAAAGACAAAAAAGGCATTTTGCATAGAACACATTACATGATCTCTGCTTTTTATTCTCCAACTTCTTCCAGGAATGAGCCCGAGTTATCCTTGACATGCACACATCTGTTTTCCACATTATGAGAAAATACATTCCGTCCCAGACAGTTTTTTTCTTTTAATTGAAGGCCTCACATTACAGTTACTTCCTGTGAAAGGAGAAGAGTTTAGACATTAACAGAACAATATGTGTCAGTATCAATGTATTCAGTCACATACTATACAAACGAACAAAAACAATGACAGTCCCTATCTTTTATGTATACTAAAAAAAGTTGAGTTTGATGTGTTTAACATAAACAAAAACACAATGCTATATCTGTGACACTGTAAGTCAGTTATATATTTGTATTTAATGCATCACATTGTCCTCTGGTCCTGTCCTCAGTATACAGACAGCAGCTGATTAAAGTTATGTTGAATGTAACCTCTGTGTAAAATGTCCTCTGTGTCTCTGGGTTTTGCATTTCTCAGTTTGGCGGTAACCCCGTGTCGTGTGCCATCGGCATGGCGGTCCTGGACGTGATAGAGAAAGAGGATCTGCAGGGGAACGCCCTGCGAGTGGGCCGACACCTGACCCGTCTGCTGGAGAAGCAGAAGGAGAAGCATCCACTGGTGGGAGACATCAGGTACGCTAACGCTAACACAGCAGATTAGCTCTGATGATATCTGACTCAGGAGTCAGGACACTGACTCATTATGTCTCATTACTAAAACAACATTTAATTCAGAGACTCGCCAATAACACATCTCGGAATTGCCTGATCCGAATAACATTAATTTGTATCATTATCATGTTTTCATTTACAACATGATAATGATAACAATTTAAGTCAAGCTTTAAAGTAATTTATCATGCAAAAATGTCAGAAACCGCTGATTTTGGGCTCTTAAATATGGAGATTTCTTGTTTTTCTCTGTTTATATATTATCATGAAGTGAATCTCTTTGGGTTTTTGACTGACAAAACCAGACTTTTGAAGACCTCACTTAAAGACATTTTTCCCAGTTTTCTGAAGTTTTATAGACCAAATGATGAAATAATAATCCTCGAAAAATAATCAGGACATTTTTAAAGATATAACATGTTAAGAAAAAATATAACATCATGATTTTCTGTGTCAATCTTATATTAATTACATGTACTCATCTGTTCTCTGAGGATCTTCAAAGGTGCAGCGACAGATTGTTGTTATTCTGTGAAATATTTACCGTGGAGTGCCATCGTGTTCTAACAGACTTTCCCCGTCATTAATGTAAAATAAGACATTATAAAAAATCTGTAGATTATAAGTTATAATGCATTTGAACCCTGGTCCAGAACATGTGGAGGGAGAAAAACAGGTCGAATGGCTTTCTGTTTAAGAAGATCTTTAAAAATGGAGAGGTCAGAGGCCAGGAGTTAACCAGTATTTCCCGTCCTGCAGGGGGCGTGGCCTCTTCTCTGGGATGGAGCTTGTGAAGGACCGGCTGAAGCTCACGCCGGCTACAGCCGAGGCCCAGGAGGTCATTTACAGGTAAGAGTGAAGCGTGAGAACTCAGATAGTGTCAGCCAGAAGGAAACATATTATTGATGATCCCTGGGCAGGAAATTTGGTCACATTCTAAAATAAAATAATACAAAGAGAAATTATAATAAAAATATAAAGTATGTAACTAATACAATATCTCAAAACCATATTAAAGGGTTTTGAATCCATCAATCTTAAAATAATGCCATAATTGGTGTTAGAATTTCTTAAATATATATTTCAGACGTTTTTTAAATAATAAAAAAGCATAAGTAATGCTCACATTAACCCAGTGGTTCTCAAACTTTTTCTGTCAGGCCCCCCCTTTGGAGAAAAAAAAAAGTCGGGCCCCCCCAACACAAATAGTCAGGCTCAGTGGCGGCGCCAGAGATTCTATTTTGGGGGTGCTGTGGGGTAGCTTGACGTTTCATAGAGGGTGCTCAAACATTTAGGGTTTCCCATTAATGTACTGGTCGCTACAGTGGAATGTTCTACTGCAACAATCCCCACACACACACACACAGTGTACCCGCGACTGTTACAGTGAAGGCTCGATAATCAGCTCACGGCATATAGGTGTAAGCAGGGGTAAAGTGTTATTTTTATAGGTGGTGTGTGGACCTCACATAGGGGGGTGCTTACACCTATATGCCGTGAGCTGATTATCGAGCCTTCACTGTAACAGNTTGCGTAATCAAGTGCACTTAAGGTGATATGGTTCCAGTAGACCCAGTAAAATGGGGGTGGCCTTCGGGGTCAGGGTACTCCTTCAAATGTGGGTGAGCTTCACAGTAAATTGACCAAACCATCATAAATGTATATAAGATCTAAGTTAAACATTCCATCGGGACCTATTTAAGAATAGTTATATCTGACAGGATTAAGAGCCACTGCCTGCAGTTGTTACTAATTATTTGGCTGTCTGTGTGTCCTGGAGTCAGCCCAAATCTCCTTGGCACCATCAGTAAAAGATCTTGATTCTGGTGAAGAACGGGACGATCCCAGGTGGCGTCACATCTGGACTTCATCAAATCAGTCCCTTAATAGAACAAGCTTCCTTATCAGCAATAAAGAGTTTTTAAATTACAAATAATAATAGTTGTACGGGATTGTTTGTGTTGATGCTTGTAACATAATCACAAAAAAACATGTTGTCATTCATGTGTACATAGGAGACGTTTCCACCAAATGCCAAATAACACACTTGGTAACTGTGCCTCTCTCATATAGTACACTAATGGATGGATTATTAAACATGCTAATATGGCACAAGCCCAGGGGCCCAAAGAGGGAGGGGCCCCCACGGACTCAACCTGCAAAATGTCACTCAAAGAGACACATAGCAACCAGGAAGAGCCTCAAAAAGCGCGCACAAAAAACAAAACAAGTATCGAAACAGCTGCACAGAACCCAAAAGAGACTAAGAACAGACTCAATGATCATGGGAAAAACAACAACCATCACAACAACTACAAAAGAGATGCAAAATGACACTCAAAATGTACCACAATGAGTCACAAATGACTATTAAAAAGACTAACTGGCCATAAAGAGAGACAAAAAGAGGTTAAACAACTATTTAGTCTGTGTATGAAGGTAGGGTGCTGGGGTTTATCTTCCATAAAACATTTTATTATATCTCCTGACTTTCCCCAAGACGCATAACATATTGTAAGCATTAGAGTATTATTTAGTAGTACTGTCCCAGGTGTACGGATTAATCTACAAACACAGAGCACTATGATGAACTTGTCACCAGATCCATATGGAGTTCTATCTTGGGCTTAAAAGCAGACAGTTGATCTGAAACGTGCCAACATTCTGCACGGAGCCATGCGTTGTCACTGAACTTCACCTTTGCCAAATGCTTCATAAAAAAAATGGCACGCTCACCATCTGTTGGCTGAGCTTTGCAAATGTCTGTTTGTGACACGGCACCACTTTGACTGTCTGGGAGCCATTTTGAACTTTTCTTCCTTCTTTTTAACCTTTGTTTAGAGAGACGGTGTGCCGCATATTTTTATACCTGGATATTGGTTGCAAGTGTGCACGGTATCCACTTCTTGCTTTGCAAAATGTTAAACACATTTGAAAGAGGACTTCATGAAAGGGCTAATCAATTGGACAGTTTAAAAACAAATCAGTTATATTTGTAACAATTCTGACACTTAATTAGTTGAGATATTGAAGAAAATGTGTGTTTGTTTTTTGTAAATGTAAATGTTTTTAAGAGTATAACGTTTAACACAGAAAGTAATGGGTTTTAATCTTTGATGAACCAAAAACGTAATTTATTTTATTTCTCTATCTGATGCATTTGCTAACCTTTGACCATCAAAGAATAATCTATTATTACTTAGGGCAGCTGCGGCGCCGTTTAGTTAAAGAAAATCTCCCTTTTCTTTATATAACTCATAATTCATAGTGGGCTCCTATAATCATTGAATAAAATAATAAAATACCAAATAATTAGCATGGGTTTATACATAAATGTGTTTGTTAAAAAAAAAACTTGGTTATGTGTAAAGTTTGAGGGACCGATTTACCGTTTCCACTCTTAGCTGTCCTCACCCATGGATGAATAATTAAGACCTAGCACCTAGTATACTTCACCTAGCATACCACTTATGCCACCTACTGGACATTCCATGCATTGAATTTACAGTGAAAATAAAATGCACCACTTTTGGTTTGCGGTCTCTTACATTGTTCCTTGGTTGTGGGAAATCCCCAGTGAGATTTTGGAAGAATAAACTTGAACCCAGGTGCAACTGATCACCTTAATTAGGCTCCAGTTAGGTGTGCCTGTGAGCAGGCCAGTAATGGAAGGTGGCCTTCATTAACATATTGGTGACACATGTGCTTATCCTGCTGGGACCACATTCACGGAAAAATGTATTAGAATGTATTGTATTAAAACATTTTTTACAAGAGTGACTTTGGAGTGGATGGTGTAATTTTTCGATAATTTAACAGTTCTCTTTCCAAACATTTGAAAACTCCTCCCACTTATAAATGATTTTATAATAAATGTTGCATATTTTGAAATTCAGAGTTTAAAGTTTTTTTAAATTTGCTCAATTGTAAACAAGTAATAGATAACTAACTTCAAATGTAAAGTGTATGTTATTTAAACTATATTGACTTTAATTGTATTTGATTACATTTTTAAATATTATACTGTTTCTATTAAAAACATATTCAATGTATTGTATATAATAAAGAGGGGGCTGTAACAAAGGGAATATTACGTTTAAAAAATAAATGAGCTACTTGCTAATGTAATTCAGAGTTCCAGTTGTTCATATTTAACAGGTGTGTTATTACAAAATCTATAAAGTGTCATACTTAGCGTAGCTTGCTGGTGTAGTACAGACTAGCCACCAGCAGGGGGCAGTATGACGTGCAGCAGACTTGAAATAGCTGCATGGAGGAACTTTAAACTGGAAGTCCTCGCCTCACTCCTTCCTCTTCCGGTATCGGCGACAGCAGGTATGGCGTCCCCCTGCTTTTCTCTGGAACATTTTTATTTTATAATCTACTCTAATCCTACGTTTAAAAAGCAGATGTGGTTGATTTGTAGTCAATATAATAATAACAACAAGTCTTTGGATCTAATGATGTGACGATTATATAAAAAAGTGGTTTCTGTGAGATATTTTGATGATGCCGTTACTTGGTCTCTGAGGCCGCTATCTGTAGAGTGAATGTGGGCTCGCTGTAGCTAATAGCTACCCTGAGCATTTGTTTGCATACCGGATTAAATTAACCACTAAAATAATAAACTAAATAAGTATATTACACTGTTATCTAGTCTTAAGTCCACGAAAACCGGTGTCACAAACTTATTGAACAGTTTCAGTACGACTAGGGGAGTTAGCATGTTAGCATTGTGCTTTTCTAAACTAATACAATTTGTTTATGTTTTTAGTCAACATGGTGCAGCGCCTGACTTACCGTCGTAGGTTGTCCTACAACACCGCCTCCAACAAAACCAGACTGTAAGTGACCTTTCCAGCACAACACTGTTTGCATCTTCAGTTATGGCTTGCATGCTATCAGCTAGCTGCACTTTATTTATCACTGCTCCCATGCTGTTTGCAGGTCCCGGACGCCCGGAAACCGTATCGTGTACCTGTACACCAAGAAGGTCGGCAAAGCCCCCAAGTCGGCATGCGGCATCTGCCCAGGAAGACTGCGTGGAGTAAGTGAACTCAGTGTATTTTTTGAAGTATATTTGCTGGCTGTGGGCGCCAAATCTCCTGATTTTGAAGAGCATATGAGGTCTGCATGGCCCTCATTGGACTGGTCTGATACTCAATTGCAGCTCAATGTCTTATTATGATGGGTGGGGAAGTTTATTGTGATTGGTCACAATTGGTTGCTATTTGGTAAACATGCTAAGTATAGATGTTAATGTGGTGTGTCCATGTAAGTGTATGGCAACCACTTTTGACACCTAAACTGCATTACATATACAAGCTGCCAAAGAAGCTTTTTTGTACAATGCTTCTTGTCTTTAGTTGCATCCTGAAAGCTAAATTCAGGAGTAATGCATCTGTCATGTTAAAAAGTTAGAAAACAATCGGCTTTGAATCAAGTGAACTGCTTTTTTGTGACTTAAAAAGTGGTTCTACAACGGCAGGTGTCGCAGCATTACTGGCAAACAATGTAGAAATTGTATATATTCAGATGTGGCACTTTGAGGTCCAGTTGAACAATTGTTGTCTAATGAAAACTGATGGTTCATTTTCTAAGTGTGATGGAGGATTTTTATAAATACAGCAAAGAACGTTTATACATATAATGCACTTGAACCCCTAAAAACATTATTAATGGCATTAAGAGGGGTCTCACAAACTAACACTTAAAATTGGTGGAGACCTGATGTGAGATGGCTCTCTTACCTCAGTTAGATATATTTTTCTGCTTGAATACAGTTTTGTTTTTTGTTTTTTTTCTTGTTGTGAAGGATAGGAAATTAAGGTCCATCCCCAAATCTGAAGTTGTGTA